AATCGAGAAGTCATTTTGACTTGCGGGTTATGTATTATATTACGTACTATGTTCCACTAAAGCGATATTAGTATATTCTTCGGGTTGAAATATGAGCTTAGTTGACTAGCTATTCGCTACTCCAGTGACCTATAGGGGACGCCACTATCGGGAAAACATGGCGGTCGAATCCAGGTCGTGCCGTGCCATGTGCCAGCTCAACGCACAACGATGGGGCACCAGCACGTAAGCATTGGACTCGAAATTGGTTTCCCCGCGTTTTATCTTCCACGTTTCGAACCTGCGGCGATGTGTTGGGGTAAGCGAACTTCCAGAGGCTTGACCTTCTTCGAGGAAACGAGGAAAGGACTGCCCACTGTTCTTCCACGGTGCTGATGAACGTTGAGAAACGCAGAATGTCTGGCTCACGCGGTTACGTAGGTCGCGTGCAGAGCAACCTGGGTCTTAAGGCGATACTACGGTTACGACACAGTCACCGGTGGAACTGTTCTGTCGCGCAAACCACCGACAACATGGAAACATGGAAGCCAGAAGAGACGAACAGAAGTCGCGAAAGGGCTTGTTCCGGCCAGTTCAGTGCTTTCCGGCTAGGTGCCGTTCGTTTTGCTGGAGTCGCGAATGAGGTGAACTGCCGAATAAAAGTATATTTGACAGACATAGCGATACTACTTAAGCTTAGCCAAATGGTTCTAGCCGGCAGCACGGAGACAAACTGAAAAAAGTCTTCATCGGAGATTCACGCAGAACCTCTCTGCATTGAACTTAGCTTCAAATCCTGAACGGAGAAAATGAGCCTTTTTGTGGCCGGTCAACCCGAACAATGTAGACGTATATTGCTGCTGGCTTCGACGGGGGTATGATATAAATATTGGAGGCGCGATAGATCAAAACGGCGTGACAGATTCAAACGTTGCGAGACGCGTCCCCCACCTTTTGAAAACAGAAAATTTCTCTCCTTCATCATTTGCAGCGAGCTAGTTTTCCTGAATCAAGTATTTACGAAATCAGCCCAACCACTTCACTGTGGTCCAGAGGCTTTTTCGGTGGAAAGCAGCCAAGATGAATAGCCAACGCACCGACCGGCGGGGGTGGCTCAAACTTGAAGCTAATCAAACACAACCAAACATAAGAAAAGCAGCTATCGAATCTTCCCATTCAATTGACTGCAACATTGGTGTTCCCTCCAGTGAAATTCCTCGTCTGTCGTCCTCAGTCCACTGTTCTACATCCTTATAAAGAAACTACTTATCAGTTACCAAGCAGTCGTCACTTTGAATGCGATTAAAGACAGACAAGAAATCAAACTGTTTTTCCGTGATTCCTCCCCATCCAAGAACTCGAAAGCACGTGACCGTGTGTTGTGAAGTAAACAGGCTTTCAAACACGTGATGGGAGTAAACAATCTACTGAGGCTTCACCACACCAATGAACACTCAGTCAAACTTAAGAGATATTCGGACCTTCGTCAAATTACATTGTTCGCCACCGCGCCGACAACACGTGTCCGCGAAAGCCACCAGAGACGCAGAGGGGCGCGGAGCGACCTGGTCCGGCTGGTTCCCGGTTTTCCCCGCTTAGTGGCGTCCGTTTTGCTGGGGTCGCGAATACGATAACGCTCAGCGCAGCGTAACGCTAAACGTGCTCTTTTCCTTGGCCGGGGAGCAGGAACTCAATATCTGCGACCAATCAGCTTTGTGAGCGCTGCACTACGTTTCGTTTGCTACGCCTAATGCCGGAGTATAACAGAGACTTAAAACTCCACAAAAATGTGCTCGTAAAACAACCTAGGGAAATCTTGACGACTATAATCGTTTTCACCTCAAAAACAGTAGTAAAAAAGAGTCCGGCAACTCGCGGAGCATTACTAATTTTCCCCTCTTATGTGGAGATTTAAGATTTATGTTGGTGCATTTTAGATTAGATATATGTTATCTTATCAAAAAACGCCCTTTTGAAACGCCAAAAGCATCGCTTCTTCCTCCGACAAGCAAATATTACAAGCACTTCTTAACCCGTCGCAGGAACAATGCGCAAAACGCCCTTTTTTCTTGAGGTGAAAACAAGCATGCGGAGCGCAGGTTTGTCTGCTTCTGGCCCAGGGGTTGCGATGATGTCAGAAATCCGAGCGCTTAATGGCTAACGGAAAAAAAATAGTGGGTAGAACTGAAGGCGCAAATGGAGGTAAATTCACTATCGTTTCAATCATACATGGGTAAATTACTTTCAAAATGTAATTTAATTACAATTACAATTACTTAGCTCCCAAAGTAGTTTAACTACAATTACAATTACTACTATGCAAAAGTATTTCATTGCAATTACAAATTACTTTTTAAAAGTAATGCAACTACTTTACAATTACTTATTTCTGAGACTTACCCCCCCCCCCCCCCCCCCCCCCGCCTTGGGCCATATAACTGTAAACGAGTTATATGGCCGCTGTATAAATGTCACGCATTGTACTTTCCTGTTATGAAATTTGTTAAATGGATTATAGAACTTAATAGTTTGGAGTAATGAACTCCTGCGTTCTTATATTTTCAAAAAATAAAAAAATGGCGACAAAATCCACAGGTGCGTGTTGAATCTCCTTAGAGCTTATGCAAATGGTATCCAAGTCAAACCAACAAAAATAAACTTCAAAATAATACAAGGAAACAAATATGCGACAGTACTGGTATCATAAAACCCGCGTAAAAATGGCTAATAAGAGAAACTTGTAAACAACGTCAAACATTTAAAGAACACGACAACTTACGAAAACAGTTCAGCCACGATGATTCGCTGCCTCTCCCTGTCTGTAGACTTGTAACATGCCAGATGTGGGTAACCGTAGAACGCGAACTGTGGTCGCTTCCACAAAATTAGTGTCACAATAGCTGCAACCTTATGGCCAGGGATTCTGGGTTAATTCAGTGCACGGTAACACCCAAAAAGCTCCTGAGATAGATAATAAATTTAGGATCGTCATGTAGCCAATCATTAGGATAGCAATGATTGTATCAATGTTATGCGTCTCATAAAGAAGACCGGTTTGAATTTAGCATGGCAAGAACAACCTCGAAAAATTACGATACACTGTAAACGACTTTATTTTCGCGAATTTCGCGAATCACCTACAACTCGCGAAAAATAAGTCCCGCGAGCAATTCCGGTAAAATGTAAACACATTGGAATCTATATTGCGACCCCACCGCGTTGCGAAAATTAGAATCCGCGAATTATTCCAAAACCGCGGCCTCTTGGACGCCTCGATTTCATGAGTTACTTTAGCGTGTTTCAGCTGGAAGATATAGACGAGCCATCATTATTATCTTTTTTTTATAGCTGTAAGTATTATTGAAAGTGACAAAAAAGTTGCTTACCTACAAATGTTTCCGCAAATGGGACGTCGCCTTTCAGTTTGTTGAATTTGTTTTTAGAGATAGTGCGGAGAGTTTGTACCTCACGATTATATTTTTTACATTGCTGCTAATATGTTTAAAGAATTTTTGTAACAAGGCCCCGGCAGCCTTTCCTTTTTCCATTGTAGATAAGGCTGTTGCAGGTTCTCAATGCAAAGCAGCAAAGCGCGCCTCGGGACGGTTCCACACGCCAGGACGAGAGGACAACGCGTGGAGGTCACGATAGAGGTGTAAAAACAAAGTGCAAGCCAAGCCCTCTATATAAAAAAAAGAAGCCTTCAACGAACAAAAAATGTAAAAAACAAGGACCCTGCAGTCTAGAGCCGCGGTTTGTGAGTTTTGGAATCTCGTCCAATCAGGCTGACAAAGGGTTGAAAGGGTTAGGTAGAGCGAAAACTAAATAATGATGATCTATACAAAAAGGTAGACGAGGATTGGGAGAAGGAAGAGCAGTGTAGCAAAAACAGTTGGAAGTAAGGCAGGGTGAGTCGTGTTAATGAGACCTGCTGCTTCTTTGCTTCTTCGCCTCAATGTTAGACTAGCACGACTTACTGTTAGTGGTACCAACATACGAGATAGAGGAGAAGGACGTGAAAAACTCATAAAGAAAAGAGAATAATTTCATGAACAAAAAAAAGTCCCCAAACTTGACTGAAATATGTAAGCGAATATGCTAGCGGTGAAGACGCGGAAGGAGAACCTCGAACCTCCCCGCCTCGACCGGATGGTGTGATCGGAGCCAACCAGCTCGACTTCGAACCCCGATGCCCCCGTGTGGGAATGAGAAAAACCCCTAGAGACAGGAGCAACAGGAAGCGAACGAGACGAAGAGTCAGATTCAACTACGACAGGAACGAAAGCAGACGCGAATGTAGCCCTCATTTATCCAAATATTGCTTAAATTCTTCATTAAATCGTTTTACTGTCTACAAAATCCTTCATTCCGTTCTATCCCAGCCTCTCTTTCCCATCCCTCTTTTCCCTTTTTTTGAGCAGGTTGGGAGACACTCTCTCCCCTGTCACTTTGGCTGTACTGTCGTCTCCGTGGCCAGGAGGGAAAAACGCCACCTTCGCAAAATCTTGCAAAAGTAATTGTAATTGTGCCTGAAATTTAGCAATTACTGACACTAGAAAGTAATTAAATTACAATTACAATTCCTTTTAGTCAAAAGTAATTATTACAATTACAAATTACCAGGAAAAGTAATTAAATTACAGTAATTGAATTACTGTAATTGAATTACTACCCAAGTATGGTTTCAATCAAAGCCAATCAGAGCTCGGAGTCGTTCTGACGTCACCGCAACTCCTGCGCAAGAAGCAGACGACTTGCTCTCCGCATTGCTGCGTTTTCAATAATAGACGCTTCAAAAGAAAGTAGCTGCCATTTATTGCCTTCAGAACGATATGTTTTCGTTTTTACTCCGGGTGCTCGGAAAGTGATTGTTTAATCTGAAATTTGATGCTGTTTTCTTTAAGACACTATTGATATTAAAAGCTTGCAATTTAAAATCGAAAGAGAAACTGATTTTGTCGTAAAACATCACTTCACTATTAATATGACGTGCCATATTTTTTGTTTTGTTTTATGTAAAGCACTCCCGGAAGTACGCAACAAAACATGGCTGCACTGATCACCGATGGAGTCATTTCTTCTCCCTTTGCTGATTTCGATACGAAAGGTCGTTCGGCGGCTCAGGTTATAACAGAATACCTCAACAAGTTGGCAGACAAGGTCGTTGCTGTAAGTACAGATCAGTTGCATGTGCCGTACAGTGAATCCTATTTTCATTAAATATCGAGTTACCGTGTCATATGCTGACTGTTTTGGTACATGGCAAGGCTACGTTGAACGAAAATATATGTTCGTGTATGGGCTCAGAATATTTTACAGCGTTTGTACTCGTTTAACAAGGTGAAAACGCCCGATGGAGGAAACAAAATACAAGTCTAACAAAACTCATTCTTTGAGATATTTGACTGATTTGTTTATTTGCTGTACATATTTTTTCTCTCCTGAATTTTATGTTGTAGAAAGTCTACCAGCTCGGGTGTGTTATCCCCTTGAGTTCCCTTTTTCTCATGGCTGCGTTTTTAAGGGTGGACAGTGTAATATATCAAAACACTATAAAGACAAAAAAAAACACAAGAAAAGCACCAGGTTGAGAAAAGTAAGAAAATATTTTAATTTAAGTTATTTGCGCTCCAAATGTACTTGTGTTCCTCTCAATAAACAATCTATTCATGTAGTTTGCTACTGTAACTAAATTTCCAATAATAAAACTAGACCGTGGGCTGTACTTAATCAACTTAATGAAACATGTTAGAAGTCCCAATATATAAAATTTGCTATATTGAAGTGTTCGATTCTACTTATATTCTGTAAAGCGTGACACGGTTCTGTTAGCATTCGTAAGAAGGCGAAACATCTACAATTTCAGGTGGACACAAGCACATCTCTCACTGCCGGGCAATTGCTCTCGAAGGCACGAAGATACGCGGCGGGTTTTCAAAAATGGGGCGTGGCTCCAGGAGCTCGAGTGTGCGCCCATCTTCACAACACTGTGGAGAGCATGGCCGCTGCGTTCGCTGTGATGTTCGCCGGCGGAACCGTCGTCCTTGCGAGGACTACACTGGTTGCAAGTGCGCACATAGTCTCCTCTGGTGTTCAAACGCGTTGTCCCTAAAATTGTGGTCATAGTGGCAATACATCGTACAAAAGTCGGTCTTCAGGCACAGTCAGAAGTGTGCTCCTTTCATTTATGGCGGTGTTGTCACATGCATGACAGGACCATGTAACATGTGTGCAGTCCTGTCACGCGTGTGCAGACATGTTCCATGCGCACATGCGCGTGAAGTAAACAAGCTGGAACATGCCCGAGGCGCGCGCTCAGATAATTTTGTTATCGTGTCCGCAGCGAACACAATGTATCTTTTGCATAATGTATATGAGCAGTGTGATCTCGGCTTTGAAGAACCACTTAAACTAAAAACGCTATCTATGATTAGTTTTCACATTAAGCAATCTCGCATACGTTTAGTCTTGCCGCCGAGGTTCGTGAACTAAACCGGCAACTATGTTATTTCAAATAGTTCCGAGAAACTAAAACGTTTTCTGAACTTCTACACGCTTTGTTACCAACCGGGGGCTCGATCTGGACTCGTGCAACAAAAAGTGGGAGGCGAAAGTTCGCGGAATGCGACGATTGGACTTAGGCGACATAAACGCAGCGTCATCGTTGCGGGAATCCACTCTGCGCGCTCCATAAACCTCGAACCCAACTTCATGTTTGACGATTCAAGGGTCCCCTTGTGTTGTTAGGACGCGGTACTCATAGACGTCACGGGTTTTTCTTTGTCTGCTCTATAGATCACTTTCGAAAGTCACGTGCCGTTTATTACATGGTCGGAACCTCTGCACAATGGCGGAACAACTGACATCGTGGGAAGTGCAAGTCACTCCTTAAGATAGCGAACGTCGGAGCGCAGCCAATGCTGTAGAAGCCGAAGAGCTAATAAGGCGAAAGTCCATTGATGTTTTTTTTACAATTAATGACAACTGTCATGAATGACGAAGCATATTTCGTAGGAACAAAATGGCGTCACTCAGTTCACTTTTCTGCTTTGCGCCGCCATTCGCTTCCTAAAATCTGCACCGCCACGCAGCCGGCGCTTCGAAGAATGTTCTACTTCTAAGAACCTTTCATCTAAGAACTTTAAATCAAACACCGTCGAAATCGCAACGTCACTGCGCTCATCACCTTTTCTCCGTGGGTGGATTTTTGCCTTCTAATCCAACCAAACGCATAAAGCGTTTCGTGACGTTGCGGTTTTAGTCCACCATTCTGCAGGGATTCCGAAGCTGCCAACAGAGGGCGGTCTTTCGAAACGGGTTTATACCATTGCATGAAGGCCTGAACCACATAGAAGGAAATAGGTGAAAAAGGCTAGTGTAAATGTCACATAAAGCATTTCTACGCGTCGCGTAAAGATCCTAGTTTCAATACGAATTTTATAGTATGGTTGTTCGTAATATATCAGGATGAAAGATACTTTTGGCGGTGCTTTTGGCTCTCAAATTGGCTGCTTTTATATCATTAGTTTTTACTTTAAATGCAAAAAAAAAAAACACAGAAAAGCAAGAGGCAATGCTTCCCTGATTGCAAAAAAAAAAAAAAAAGAAAGAAAAAAGGCATTGATAGCAGCAACCGTAAAGCATTAAGTGCTTGTTGATGTTTTCTGGTGTTCGAGTCATTAAGACATCTACCATTTGTAGCCTATTTTATAATACTGTTGAACTATCTCACTCTTACAACTCGTGTTCCCAAAGTGCGAGCCCTGCTGATTGGGCCAAACAAGCTGAAGTATACATCGTCAAGGAACAAACTTAATGTGCCTTTGACGTTGCAGCGCTCCTTCTTTAGGCCAGTAGACCACATACGCGCTATATTCAATAATTTATCTTAATTCAACTGTTCAGGAGAGCTTCTGTACCAGATACGAGACAGTGAATGCAGTTTCGTTCTGACGGACGAGCTCTGTACGGGCACGGTTCTGCAAATCAAGGACGACCACCCGCTTAAGGTAGGTAACCTTCACTAAGATTGCTCTCCCGCCAAAAGGTAGGCTACGGCACACTTAAAAATTCTGAAGCGTCAATTTTCCGGCGAAACACGTAGGACAGCGATCGAGTCTGTGCTATCCATAACTCGGTGAATGGACTTAAAATTTGCCTACCCCCCCCCCCCCCCCCCTTGCCACCCATAAAAAAAAAGGAAGAAAGAAAGAAATAAAAAAGAAAGAAAGAAAAACAGTCTGCATCGTTAAACTGAGTATGGCGTTTCACCAAATTCATTCTTACAGCACAAATTGTTTTTTTTTTAATGTTTAAACGTACTTTCAGTTTCAACCTCCGCTCAGCGCCCCTTTTATAATTTAGCGATTCGCCGCTCTTAGTGCATTGCGAAAAGAAAAAAAGAAATAGCTTTAGATTTTTTAGAGTTTACACCATTTTGAGAAATGTTCCAGCCTTAACTTGGCAACGTATGAAATTACGGTGTCCTTATTGTTTTCGTCACGTACGTACGTACGTACGTTACATATATGTAATTATATATGAGAGTATAATAAATGAAATGAAATATGCATGCATGTATGCACCACATGTGCGCGTCGCTCAAACGTGTAATCGCAACAAAATCAAGTGCGCCTGATGTGGCGGTCAACGTGTTATAAAATTGTAGCTCTACAATAGCCACCGACAGCTTAGGAAGGGAGCGTGGGGCGTGACCTAGGGTCCTCGACCCGTAAAACACAAAGTTGGAGCCGAAAGTTCGCGGAGCGCGCCGTTTGGACGTCGGCGAAAAAAAGTGCTATGTCATCATCGTGGTAGGCCAATAGGTGCGCTCCGTCAACTTCCGCCCCAACTTTGTGTTTGACGAGTTTAGCTACCTTTGTATGCTTATGCCCGTCTTGCTTCGTTACTCGTTCTTCGGTGCTCTTATCGCCCTTACGCACACAAAACAAAAAGCTCAGGATCATTGCGCAATAATTGCGCGTGATTTGTTCAGCCGGTTGTAGCAAACACACGAAGAAAATGAGCGCCGTGAGGATGCACTTTTGGCGGAGCTTTATTGGCTTCATTGAATTGTAGCGTCGGCTGCGACCGGACTGAAGGGAAATGAAGTACGGAAAACGTTGCTTTCGAATGCCCGAGTCCCACTAGAGCGACAAACAGAAACAAACGACAGCGACAAGCCTCAAAGGTACGCAGCATGCTCGCGATGGTGAGTTTGGCAAGCGTTCAGCCGGTGGGTGCTCGTGAAGTAAGCACAAGTGATTGCGGGCCTGCCAAAGATACCCTCGTGTGCATGATGGTCGTGTTTGAGCCTCTTTTATTCTGCAAAGCCTGCCGAATCGCGAGACTCTGGTTTGAGGCTAGTCGCTGTCGTTTGTTTCCGTTTGTCGCTCTAATGGGACTCGGGCATAAACGTTCTCTGATTATTTCTTTGTTTTTATGGGAGGTGATGATGTGGATCATGCGGAGAAAAGAAAGTTGCGTCACTGTCTTTAGCCGGCAGACCGGGCTCGCTCTCCCTGGTTATCGCCCGTCGTTCAGAACTTGTAGTCGGAGTCCGTGTCCAGACCTGCGGAACGTCCTTCCCACGCTAGCGCTGCGTCAGCCTGTTCCTATATCTATCATTGCCCGAGTGTCGCTGCGGAACCACTCCGGGACCGTCATAGCCTAGGCCGGTATGGCCAGGGATCGCTGCTCGCGCCGGTCCTGGTCCGAACCTCGCTGGTGTACCGTTCTGGGAATCGCCATAGTCCAGATCGGCTCCATCGTTCCTGTCCGGCCCCAGCCTCGCGCAGCAAGCTCTGTCACGTGCCAGCTCGTGCCTCCTCGGCTGACCGGTTGTCATGTGCTTTCCGCGCCGTGGTCTTCGACCCTCGTCTGCCACAATCGGCACGAGTACGGCACGTTTTCGAGTGCTTATTTTTCCGAGAACCAGATAAAGCAAATGTATAAGTGCATAGTGTGAGCGACAACAACCTGGCCCATGCTCTTTGAAAGCCCAAAACGCTGACTCAACAGCGATTAAAGTTGACCCATTCGCCCGCTTGGGGCTAATTTCTGCGACACAATGAAGGGCAAAGTCAAAAGGGGAGTTTGACGTGCCAAACCAAACGAAAGGGCACCTGACACGACCCAGCGGAGGACTGCGGATTAATAATCGACCATCCGGGGTTTTTTTTAAGTGCAGTCAAAATCTCGATTACACTGCATTATTTCCTTAATAAGCCTCCGTCAAATTGCGGCCACCTCGACCGGGATTCGAACCCGCCACCTAGGGGTCCGTGGGTCGGCTCTTTGTCTCAGAGCTGCCGAGGCGGCTGCGATATATAGAAAAGACCGCCTGTTTCTAAGCGGGCGCTTAGGGTGGAGCCACAATCGTTTTGTTCGTAACGCGCGTCTACACATAGCGCCGCGGGGATTTGTTGCTGTTTGTAGCACTCCGCCTACTTTAGTACGCTTTCATTGACCACAAATTTGAACTCGCTTTGATCATGTCGACAAAGACCGGGGAACATATGTAATGTGCCACTACCATACGCGTGAAGTGTATGGTTTGCGTTCTCTTTGTATGTGGTGGGGGTGAGCCTGATGTGTGCGGATCTAGCGCAACCCCAAGCTTCATATCTATGGTCGCTCAACACAACCTGTGTGCCCCGGTCTTTTCGAGCACAATTGAGCTACAGTGTAAATATTTGACTTTATGAACCGAGTGTTAGTTGTCCCCCCACGCCTGCATCGCTTAGCTCAGTAGGCATAGCATCTGGCTAAGTGTCACTTGGTCCCAAGTTTCATCCCCGTCGAGAGTACTCTTGCATTCGTGTTTTAACAATGACCCCTTTGGGCGTACGTGCTTCATATAACTTTGACCTATGTGTAACGGTCGTGCGTTACAGTCCAGCGTTACAGTTTTTCCTAGAAATTAAATTATAAACACAATCTGGGTTCACTATTGTTTTTACCATCTACACTTTTAATAAGGTACCATTCTCGCCGCAGGGCTTGTTTGTTATAGGAAACGTCACCGGTTTCACCAACATCCGACAGTTTGAGGAGCTTTCCGAAGATTCCCTGAGGGAGTACGTTCCGTCCGACACCAAAGATGAAGTTGCTGCAATCGTCTACACCTCAGGCTCCACGGGGCTTCCTAAAGGGGTGGAGATATCCCACAGCGCATACGTATCGTCCCTACTGGCAATAGAGTACGTACGCAGGTTTATAGTTATTGGGCTGCATCTATGTTTTTTTTTCCCTTACCCTGCCCTGAATTGCTTAACAAAATCTTATTTGAGCAGGCCGGTTTTGGTAAAAGACGAATAATGCACAATTGTTGACCTTAGAGCGTGTCGATTTACCAAATTTGTTATTCTGTTTGTTACTTAGTAGGCATGGTTTAATTAAGCAAGGTGTTACCGTCGGAAAGGAGGTGGAATGCAAAAAGTCAGCGAGGATTTTGCGCTGGCCGTTACGATATAAAAAAAAATCTCACAAATGAACCTCTAGACCATTATAGTTCATGCCGAAGTATTGTTCATAAAAGAAAAATAATTACAAAAAAAAAACACAAAAAAAAAAAAACTGAGTGACATTGAAGTTTATGACGTCTTCATTGTGTGTTTATAAAGCTCTGTACACGTTATATGGGAAGAAAATTATCTCGTTAAGTACGCTAACGAACTAAAATTGGTAAAACAACTTCTTTAAGGTGCCTTAGGAGGCTTTTGAGAACGCCTAAATATGGCGATAACTCACTTTGTTGGCTCCGAGCATCCTAGAAATTCCTAAATCATGACGACACACGGCCGATTTTCTTATTAAAAAAAAGCAATCCAAGATCGCAACACACCCAGGTCTTCTCCTCCGATGGGAGGAGCATGTTCCGAAACTAGAACCGCTGTCAGCCAATAGCGAGCGAAGGGTCATCGCGCCTCCGACCGGTGGAACCGCGGAGTGATATCTCGAATGCGCGCGGCTCGTTGCCCCCGTACAGCCGGGACTACGGTTCAACCCAGCGAACGAGCGCTCGAGCCCTCGAGAGCTGACGACCAGACGCATCACTGCCGCAAAAGACAAGAAAGAACAACAACGACAACATATATTTTGCTGAGACGGGTATTGCAGTATTTAGTTCCTTTTGAGCGAAAAAATAACATGTTTCGGCTACTCTAACTTGTTTTTATAATCTACAAAAGCATACACAATTTGTAATAACAGCGTTTGCTATCTCAACGATGTGTGACGTCTTCATTGGCCACACGACGTCCTGGCTGCCGGCACAATGCTCCTGCCATCGCCGGAGATGATTGCGGTCTTTGATTGCTTTTTTAATGGGAGAATCGGTCGGGTATCGTTATGATTGATGAATTTCTTGGATGCTTAGAGCCCGCTGAGTAAGTTATCGCCATATTTAGGTGATCTCAAATATATCCTCAGGGCACCTTCAATAGATGATTTGATGGTTCACACCGCCGCTGAAGTACTGATGGAAATTAAACTTAGGGGTTAGATCATTTGACAGGATTAGTGAAATGGCAGTGTTTATTAAACATTCACCGTTCAGTTTTTGGAATTTTTTCGTGCTCGATTTAAAAATTCGGCGCTGAAAGAGCGCACAAAGCCCTGCGCATAGTGGCGCTTAGAGGTGTGGGACGGAGTCGCTTCAGTCACGTCGTCACTATCGCGGCAGTGCGTCGTAAACTTATGCTATGATGACACTACGGACGCAACGCGCCGATCTTTCATAGCACACTCAAACATAAGCGCAAGAAGTGGAACGATTTCTTTCAGACTACAAGCAATCGCGGTCTGAACGAACCTGTTCCGCTTGTTGCGCTTAGGTTTGCGGGTGTTATGAGAAAGTGGCGCTTTACGTCCGTAATGTGAACATGGTATCATCCACCACAGACGGGCTGCCAAGATAGTGACGATGTGACTAAACCGACTACGTCTGACAACGTCGCATTTCAAAGCGCCATCCTGGGCAGGGTTAGCGGCGCTCTTTTTGCATCCCACTCGTAAAATTGGAAACAAAATTAAAGAAAAAGCTTAACAAGAAATTACGAAAAAATTGCATTTTTGCTGCGGGTTGCAAATAGTGGTCCAAACAGAATAGCGCTGCGTCATTCACACCATTCACAGTGCAAGAGAGGACCGCGACAACTGGTTGTCTTAACTGCATTATGGCGAGGGATGATATGGCGCTATTTGATTCGAACCAATATCTGGTACACTTCTACCTTTCGCAAACATTTTCAATTGGTCTACTCTCTAATAGTAATTGCCTTCAATACTGCAATTTAAACATGACCTTCAAATCCATAATTTCAGAAACAAAATCACAAAGTCGAGGTAATTAGCGTATAATCGTGACGGTTATGCACATTTTCAAAAGTAGATCTGTTTATATTGTAAACCAAATTCACACTGCATACAATATGTGCCATATTTGTTTGTTTATCACACATTCAAAACATATAAAGTGCGTGTAAAACGTTTACTGAGGAAAAATAAAAAAAGAAATGGGTCGCACTCGCGCGTGTCTTCTTTCAGGGGACTTTCCCCTTAGAAAGCCTCCTTTCTAAATGTTCTGACGTAGGTCACCCGACGTCGTGTAATCGAGCAGGGTCCGTTAGATTCGGACTCGTCCTTCAGACTCGCCAGCACGCCTGATCCCCTCCTCGTAGGAGTTAGGAGTGTCTTGGCCCGGCTGGGCCCAAGCATCGCAAGAGCGTCACATTTCCAAATCAGGTAGTAAAGTTTTGGGAGCGTGCCGTCTCCTTTGCATATTCGACATCTTCGGTGGGGGTTCGTAGTCAGAATTCAGCTTTCTTTTCTCGATGGTCTCAAAGGTTTGAGTTATGTGTGGCGTTGTTGCGCTACCCGTACGGATTGGTCGTAATATCACCCTTTCCTTGAGTTTCAAGTGGTTCGGTGGAATGGGATTTGGTTCGGGGTTCCAGGATGCTTTCATTTTTTTGTGCGTCTGCATAACTTCAACCGGGTAGATACGTTGTATCGACAGTTTCACTGTTAGTCGATGAGGGGTCGCATTCTCTGGTGCCACGCGAGGCGTGAGGACTGTTTAGCTCCCTCGCAGCCGCGTCATGCTCCGCCTTGTTGCCGTGGATGCCCGTGTTTCCTGGTATCAATCGGATGCAAACCTTTGTTTTGTGTGCACGGAATAAGTGAAGAGCCGTGTGGAAAATGCGTTTGATGGTTCTGCACGTCATGGCTCCATGTCTTTTGCATTGTCGGATGACGTGCTGCGAGTCCTTAAATATGTATAGTTGATTTGCGTTGTGCTGTCTTTGTGTCACCTCCAGGTGTCTTAAATGACTCTCTATCGCGAAGAGCACTGCCTTCGGGAGAGAAAGGGCCGGCTGCTCGTGGTTGGGTTGGGGTCGATATCGATGTTCCCATTGGGTTGTCTTAAAAATAGAAGATGGGGGCTGCTGTCGTGGCAGTCTCTGGGCCGGCAATTTTAATCTCCACGTTTATATACGCGACCGTGGTGGACGGGTCCACCAGAAACGTTCGGACTTTGACTGGGTGGTTTCGGGCGTCGTGTTCCCTACTTTTAGCTTGTTTCTTCTCGTCCATGTTTCTCGGAATTGGCTGGGACTGTGTGAGATCGATGAGGTCCCACGGGAATGCGGGCGGCGGAATGCCTTCTGCGTCATTTTGAGTCTCTGGGTTGAGAAGCTTGGCCACTTTCTACCGTGCTCTGTGTGTTTCAGTCAGGCGTTGTGCGTGGCGACTTGTTTGTCAAGGTCTACTCTCCAATCGGTGAGATGTGCGCATCGCTTAGTTGCTTCGACGTTGGCAAGCCTTGACACTCCAAGTATAGCTCTTCGTGCATCGTTGTATAACGAGGCAAGCTTTTTCTTGCGTCGGTGCATGAGCTTGCAGAACCGCGAACACCGTACATTATCTTGGATACGAGGACTGGTTGTACCAGCGTCTTTGCGGTGTTCTCTCCTGCCCCACCCATTCTGTGGGATATACGCCGAATATTTGGCAGGCCTTGTTTTCACGTTCTTGTGACAGTGTTTAGCCAATTGTTTGCCACGTGCTTGCCGTTTCCAAAGTGCACGCCAAGTAGGCGTCTTGCAAGGAACGGTATTATTGCCAACGCTATTTAACATCGTAATGGCCCCCCTGTTGTGGAAATTATAAGACATATGACAGCTCAAGGCAACAATATATGCGGACGACACCACCGTATAGACAAACACAGGAGGACCAACGAAACAAAAACAATACAGAAGAGACTTGACACCATCCGCGACTACCTGAATAAGGTCGGACTAGCGCCGTCTCCAGAAAAAAAACGGGAAATACTATTTTCGGGAACGACTATCAGAGCATTGACCTAGACCTCGCATTTGACTAACAACGGATTGACAAGAACGCGGACGTCAAGCTACTTGTCGTGCACTTTGGAAGTGGCAAGCACGTGAAAAACATAAAATAAAAGAGCGTGTTACAGCTTCGGTCGCCAATTGACAATAAAGGCTATTTGAATTTTGTTTTTCTTTTATTTTTAGAACTGTGAAGATTTGTACTGAAGACGACGTGTACTTGGCATCTAATCCTTTGACTCACCTCTCTGGGTTCGTGCTCAACGGGTTCTGCATGTGTCTTGGTGCTACTGTGGTGTATCGGGAACCAACTATCTCACTTCATGAGCTCATCGAAGTCATTGAAAAACACAAGGTGAGAAAATGTAATGTCATACGGAGAGTAAACATCTAAACTGTCCAGTTACAGTATGATCCTATTGGAAAGCCATAGTTGCATGCACGTATATTTTCGCTCAATTAAGCACCATAGAGAACTGAGGACGAATTCACGGAACTCTTTTTTATGCTAAGACAATTTAGCTAGGAAGTTTGTAAGTTACGTACACTGCAAGAAGCGGTGAAAATTGAGATTCACGGAATCATTCAAAACCTAGAAAAGAAAAACATCAGTCGTCCTCTTCTAAAATAAATAAATAAATAAATAAATAAATGAATGTTTTAAAGTTTTTCAACAAATTGAAAGCGTGCCGTTGATATAGTTGTCATGTCATGGCAACAGCGACAAAAGCTACAAAGAATTCAATCGGAGAGCTCGTCATTTTTCAGAGCACGTGAGATTGACTTCTAACAAAACATATAAGCACCGGGCAGCGTCCACCGCTAAAGCGTGTTCTGAGGCAACGCTTGTTCTACGACTTTGTGTGGGCAGTAACGTATCCATGACTTTGTAAAGCAATCGGTATAAAATGCCTAACATCTCCGAGGCCAGGATTACAACGGCAACAAAAAAATAAATAAATTGAAACCAAAATGCATATTGGACTCTTTGCGCCTCTTGTAAATACAGTTGCAGAGGTAGACGTGGTGTTTTTCGACGGATAATGCATTTACACCGTGGAAGGACGACCCCCACCATTGAGGCTAAGGTGCGAACCACTATGGTTGACCCGTCGAAGCCGCGCCGCTTTGGCTCGCTTTCGTTTGCGGGCCTCTTCCTCTACTAGATCTTGAACATGCTTTGCTGGCATCCTGGCTTTGTTATGAACTGCGGTGCTATAATCCCCTCTTTATATATATATACTCACCATATTAACACAGAATGTGCATTACCAGCCGATGTCTATAGTGTTTTGTAACAGCCAGCTGTTACGACCGGTTCTAGCGAAAAACGGACACCGAAAAGCTTTACGGCCATAGGAAACCATATAAAGACTTCAGGCCCCCGTTAGGATTTGAACTCACCACCTTGAGATTGTGAGCCAAGTGCTTTGCCCAATTAAAAAAAAAAAAAATATATATATTGCGTGGAAATGTGGCAGTACAAGCGGTCAAGCATCTGAGCTATCCAGACTCGGTGGTAGGGGTCACGCAAGAGCGAGCTCATTCGCGCGCTTCGCGTTCTTTCCAGTCATGTGGCGCCATCTCATTGCGGTGTCAGAAATTAAAGCGAATTTTCGGAAGGCAGCGCCGTTGAGATATGGTCATCATATCTCAGATATGGATATCATCGCAAGTAACCTAGTTTCATTACGCTGTCAGTGCACCCAGCCCCACCGAGGCTGCCGAAGTCAGTGACATTATGATGATGCCGCCCCCAGATGCGCTGTATGACAAACTCAAGCTTGAGCTTATCAAGCGTATGACGGCGTCAGAACGGAGACGCCTTCGACAACTCCCCACCGATAAAGAACTTGGAGACCGCAAGCCGACTCAGCTGCTATGACGCTTGAGGCAATTATTTTGGAACTGCGTTCATTGATGACTCGGTCCTTCGAGAGTTGTTCCTATACAGCGCCTCCCATCGAATGCACGCATGATTTTAACTACCTGAACTGATGTACCTCTCGATGCGCTGGCAGAACTTGCAGATGAAATTCTAGAAAAAGTGTCATCGACCTTTGAGGCACAGACTCTTGCCATCACGAAGATAACACCTCGGGATACCCAGCTACAACGACTCCAAGCGCAAGTAGACAGGCTAACGCTGGTATTTAAAAAGAACTTGCATGTACCAAGACCTCGTCGCCAGACTCACAGGTCTCCGTCCAGACAACGCCGCAGCAGCCACTCCAGGGAACACGGTAACACCACGTGCCGGTACCATGCGCAGTTTGGAGCGCAAGCTCGGAAATGCTGCTTTCCTCGCTGCTTCACGGGGAACTTTCTATCCAATAACTGAGGACGGCCAGTACTGTTAGAACACGTCCAGACGCCTCACACAATTTTTTCTTAAGGAACTCCGAACTGGACAAAGATTTTTAATCGACACTGGTGCAGAGGTCAGTGTAGTACCCGCTAATGGTACTGACCTTCGGCAAAACATCAACAAGAACGTCCTCGAAGCAGCAAATGTAACATCCATATATGCCTACGGCGAACGTTCTGCTACATTAGACTTAGGGCCGCGTCGCACTTTTCGATGAGTGTTCATCGTCGCCGAAATACGACACGTACTCTATAATTGGCACCCACTTCTTAGCGCAGTTTCATCTCCCTGTAGACATGAGTAAAAAGCGCTTGTTAGTCTGTGGCATTAAGCTCACTGTCCGTGGAGTTCCAAGTCAACCAGCGATTATTATACCGACACTTCTGCACCCTAAACCAAAATCAACATACAATCTAGTAACGTTGCACAGGGAGTGGTTGCAGTGACATCAGAGCGCCGAGCTCCAATTGGCTCTCATTGGAAGGATAGTGGGTAGACCTCAAGGCAGCTCGCTTTCAGGTCTGCCCACTACCCTTCAGTCAGAGCCACCAGAGCTCGGCTTTCTGACGCCGCCACTAACCCTGCAAGAAAAGCAGACAACTTGCGCGCCGCATTGCTTATACACCAGAAATTACGTTACAAATAATCCGGCTATCTAAACCTTTATATACGAACGCTTACGAAGTAGTCGAATAAAAAATAATACTGAACTTTTTTTCTATTTTCTTTTTTGTTATTGATATATAGGTGACCCTGATGGTCAGCTTCCCCGCGAAGATGCAGTCGCTCTTCATCCAGGCACGGCGGACCGGAGTTGAGGTCCCGAGCGTTAAGACGCTAGCGATCGGAGGAAGCCCTATTACGAAGTCGCTGGGGAAGGACCTGCGCGACCTCTTCCGCTGCGAGACCCTGGTGAACGTCTACGGAATGTCGGAAGTCGCCGGTCTGATTTCCACGACGCCTAAGGGACAGGTCACGCTGGAACATTCTGGATTTGCCGGTCCTGGCACCAAGATCAAGGTAGACGGGTTTTGTTCTTCGCCATGAGTTAGAGTAAAGTTACCCACGCAATCCCAGAGATGTAAAAAAGAAGCGTTGAAATGAGAATCAAGAAGCGCTAACACAACCAGCCCCCCCCCCCCCCCCCCCCCCCCCCCCCAGCACCACCTCAGCCTTTACCTCCCAGCCCCCGATGTGTGTGTGTGTCCTTTTTACAAAAAGGACACACGCCACTTAAAAAAAAGTTTTTTTTATTTGTTTTTAATTTTTGTTTGTGACGTAACATGCGCGCATGATGCAACATTCGTTCCTGACGTTAGATCTGTCCGTGAGGTTACACCTGTTCGCAGTGTTAATGCACGTTCGCCGGCCAGTCGTGCAACATGTTTAGCTTGATACATTTACGAACCTATTTATGCCGTCTCCTCAAACATGGCATCGATCTCCTTGACTCACCCTATAGATTTTGACTTCCTGAGAATATATATTTACTGCGTCTTCCTTGTCCGTTCTAGATCATTGACATCAATACCGGAGCAACATTGGGACCTTTTGAGCATGGCGAAATATACGTGCAAAGCAAGTCGGTTATGAGAGCCTACTATAAGAAACCTGAAGCCACCGCGGCATCGTTGGACAAGGATGGTTGGCTGAAAACAGGCACTTTTTGCACAATCCCTGAAAGCTAACGAATTTGTTGCAATCAGCGACATAACGAATGATCGTCATTGCGGTTCGTCTCTTTAATAAATAGAATAGCTAGAATATAATATAATGCTAGAGAGAAAGAAGTAGGCCCCCCACGAAAGGACATCAAGAAATGACGAGTCTAGATCATGTTTAGGCCTAAAACAACATAGTCTCCGCCATGTCCCTGAGCATGGCGTTTCACCGTGCTCAGTGACACAGCATAGGCCTTTTAACGTAAAACCTTATTTAGCCAGTTGCTCCGCCTTCCCTAAAGCCTGATCAGCGTGGCCGAGAAGCTCGATGGTGGTTGGTTAACGGGAAAGGTCACGTGACCAGAGTGGTAGGCGAGGAGGGGAGAGGTAGACGAGGTGGTGCTCGACCACTTGTGCGCACTGAGGAAAAGAGTATGGAAGGTTCTGGAAGATAGCCAAGTTTATCAGCTCGATTAGCGATAGTATCGCTTTATTCTAGGAAAAACTATCCAAGCAATCTTGTTGCATAAAGGCAACTCGGAGTACCGCTAAATGTTTGTGACGCTAGAACGTTTCCCGTATGCAACACAATTGCCCAGCAATTTGGCATACCTTTTTGGGGGGCTCTAAAGGTATCGTCAGCCTCGTCATTCCCCGAGCTCCCACCGCTGATTGAAACGATGGACTTTCCGATGACTTTGTGGCGAAAGGACACGCTGCAGATTTCTTAGAGTGCACGATCCCTTTGGAAACCAAGAATCTAAAACACTGGTATACCGACTTTCGACAGGTGACCTCGGCTACTACGACGAAGAGGGTCACCTATATTTCGTGGAAAGGCTGAAAGAGATGATCAAGTGCATGGACAACCAGCTAGCGCCGGCCGAGTTGGAACAGATCCTACTCGCGCACGACGCGGTCAAGGAAGTGGTTGTCGTCGGAGTGCCGAGCATAATGTACGGGGAAGCTCCTGCTGCCAGCGTGGTCCTGGACGATGCTTGCCAGCTGCCGAAAAAAGAAATTAAACGAAAATTGATTGAACTTGTTGCAGGTAACCTGTTAAAAAAAGTAGATCATACGTATTTTTGTTTTTAAATGACCAATTTAAAGGGACCATGATATGATATTAAAATCGAGTTTCATCCACCGCACGTCGTAAAAGGTGTGAAAAGAAACACAAAAACACAAAAATAAGGAGCCAAAAAAAAAATTATTTGCCATAGAACTTTTAAAAGAAAACTGGACTCTTTTGCGCCTTCCTTCCTTCGCCTGTTCACTACGATGCATCCGCGGAAATGGAGCACGTCAGCCAAATCCAGGTCGCCTATTGGGAAAGAGCCTACCTCACCAGCACCGCGATCGTAAACAATAAATAGCCGGCGAATGTTTCCTAAAAGTTTTGTTAAATATTATTCAGATCCACATTTTGTACCATAATTAGAGATGTGTGGCGAAAATTGCCAAATTTGATAATGCTGAGAGCCAGGCGCCATCTATCGTGTGGTAAACGAAGCAACTACTGCGCGTGCGCAGTAGGGCAGGGCCGACAGTTACTTGGGTGGCGGCCAGCGACGAACGTTTATTTTCTTTGTTTTCCTTCCTCTCAAAACTCTGACTGACTGAACGTTTATTTTTCTACGTGTTCTTCCCGCGCGTGCCGACTTCAAGCAGCAAGAAAAGAGTACTTAAAACAGACCACGACGAACAAGAACGCTGGATCCACCGACTCCGACGAAGCGTATAGGCCTAGCAGGCATTCCGACTCGGCGCTGCGTTGCTTCGTCGCAAGACCGTCTGCCTACGATCGGCTGGCGTGCTAAATGGAATATGCCCGCGCGACCCTTGTGGACCCTTCCCGTATTATAGTTTGATCACTGACCTCAATTCTAGATCAAGAGGTGAGGTCAATCTCTTCCCCTTGTTTTCCGAGGCAGTGTTGACGAACACTCGTCGAAAAGGGACTCTCGTAGATTCTATCTTCTTGTTTTGTGTGATATAGAGCTGAAATAAACGCCGTATGGATTACCTTCGTAACACGGTATGTACACTTTGTTATTGGTATGCCATTTTTATTCTGACAGACTGCACGTCACTGTCGAGCTGTAACAGTTCGTGGGAGGTATACGTACAACCCCGGTCCAACCTTTCTTTGCCGAGTGGCGCGTCAGTATCGAGTTGCAATCGTAAAAGAACGGTCCCGAAGCGCTTTCAAACAGCGCGAATACAAGACTTCCATCAAGCGCGCGCGTCCGCTCCGAGTGTAAACAGGTATTTACGTGGCTCTTGCTGACACTCGTAGTTCAAACGTATCTTTTTTAACGTCGGCTCGCTCCTGCATCTCCGAGGCCGCGAAAAACGCCATCTACGTCGCTTTGCAAACGACTGACATGGGCCGGCCCTTCTGCCAACAATGACGGGGTGGTTGACTTCTGGAGTCTTCACCGGAGGACTCGCTGCACTTCACAACAGGCATACCGGCGTATGGGACTAGTCCCATGCTGTCGCTGTAGCGCAACAAATCTCATTGAATTTCGCTCAGCTGCGATGCGGCGATGAGAGGCGCCGATTCAGGAAATGCGTCGGTGACATCAGCGCAGTAAAACCTACCGGCGCACCCCAACTCGTTGCCGCTAACACTCCCACTCTCCTACTGCCGAGAGAACTTCCGGTTCCGGAAACGGCCTACGTCACGGCCTCTTTTGCGGTCAGTTGGAGAGAATGAAAAAGGTGATATTTCAATAATTTTTTGTGTAGAAGTTAATAAACCGGGACGAAAACGGATGCCTGTTCGGCATTCAGTGAACATTGACGGTTAAATGTAAAAGTTATCTGGGAAAAGTAAAAAGGTAATTTCATGGTCCCTTTAAGATACCCCGCGGATGTGGTCCAGCTGACATGACCAGATGTGTGGTCGAGCGTGTGACAAGATATCACAGGTCGGACACACGGAAAGTAGACATTGACCCAACTTGCATCTGTAAAACACTGCTCCGTTATTAAAGCTAGAAACCCGGGGTTACCGGTTAGGCTGCGCTGCCTAAATGTACCCGGCACAGCCATTCTCACCTAGAAGACAGTACCTATACGCATTACGCATGGGCGTACCAACCGGGGAGGGGAGGGGGGCGTTTGCCCCCCCCCCCCCCCCCCCCCAGTTCTTAGAGTAAGGAGCAAGGCATGTGTTCTGCCCCGTCCCCCTCCCTCCCCCCCTCTGAAACAGCCGCCACTTGACCGGGGAAACACTGGCCGGCGGCGCCCAAGGGATGCCAAGGGCACCGCCCCCCGACCTGGGGGGGGGGGGGGGGGGGAAGGGGGTTTGGTTTGCCCCTCCCCACTTAAAAACCAGTTGACACGCCACTGGCATTATGTCATCGTTATTGCATCCTCAACTAGATCCAAGTGGTGAACAAGCCGCAGCTTGACGAAAGTACACCGCAGTGCGACAAACGCGTGCGTCCGGCCTCGTCATGTACCGGCGTCATACTCATTGGGAGACGCTGCAAAAACCATTTGCGGCGTCGCTGACGGGAGCAAGGTAGCTCAACGTAATTTCACTTTGTGAGGGTATTTGAGGGAGAAAGGGGCAAACCATGTCTTCAATAAGTGGCGCGGGCATCGGAGAAATCAGACTCCTTCTTAATCGAAAGTTTTTTGTATTGAGTATGCGAGCAAAACGCAAGCACTATATGCGTTAGCATCATCGTTTCGTATTCCGCACCGCGCGTGCGCGGAGCCAGAAACTGAGTCTTAAAGAGGCGCGTGGCGACGGCGCGCATACGCAGCGTGGAGCACGCAACGTAAACGCACCACGCACAACGCTTGCGTTTGCTCCTGCACACAATACTCTCTAACGTCGGTTAACGTCCCTACGCTCTGCGCCTCTGCGTCTCTGGGCTACACACTGGATGTTTTAACAGTGCAGTGCTATCGCACGTGGAAAAGACGGGAAACTCATGGGTCGGCGGTGTTCAAAGGACCCATATGGGGTTTATTTTTCACGATTGGTCATTGGCATCAAGGAGTGGTAACAACACAGAATCCGCTGAAGCCATTCAACACAACAAGTTAAATGCAATTCCGACTCTGATAAAGGACAATATCTTTCTGAGCATTACTTAGAGTGTATGTTCGTGGACGCTCCTTAGGCTCTGGGAATTCTCGAGACTGTTAGTTCCAACTGAAGGCATAAAGCTCGTATTTTTTTGGAGATTGGGTTTTTCCACTCTTGATTAATACACATCTTTCTGTTTTTTGTTTTGCATTTGTTTCCTGGATTATAGGTCAAACGGCAGTGTACAAGCATCTCTACGCTGGAGTCATTTTTGTCGACTTCATTCCCAAAGCTGAGAATGGGAAAGTCATGAGACAGGAACTTAGGTCGAAATGTGTGACTAAAGAACCCACGGACGCCGAAAAATAAAAAATAAAAAGAAATAATAGCGTATAAATAAAAAAACAACAACAGAGAAGCTTCCAAAGGCTGATTACTCGTTTAATGTATCCGATGGGCTGAAACACAGACGTATTATTTGTCTAGGCTACAGGTGAGACCTCGGCTATTTATTCATCTTCGCTTTTGTTTGGAGGCAAGTGGCAACGCAGGGGCACAACATCCCGGATACATATAGGAATATAATTTTTTTTTATAATCTCTTTTTTAAAGACTATTTATTTAGTATTGCAAAGTGGGAAAGATCGCGCGCTCAGCTTAAGGATAATTTTTCTTACGTAAGCATCGCACAGACGTTTTACGTTTTGAAGCATTAAGCACGTGAGAGCATGTCATTTTGCTTTGCGGATACATGTTTTTGCGAATAGAGCATCAGTAGAAATATTGACAATATTGAGTTTTAGCAGATTGATTATCTAGCCATGTTGTATCGAATTAGGAGGCTCACTGCGCTACTTTGGTGCATGCTTTGGGGGTCAAGAAATCTGAATACGTCTTTCAAGAAAGTTTGACAATTCAAATGGACACATAAATAAGGGTATGTTTTGGCGCTTGCTTACAACTTCCTAGTTCAAAGTATTGGGTCTCATGTGGAAACTGTCTTTCATATAGTAGCCCGGCCAGATTCGCACAAAAAAAAAAAAAAGACTAAATTGTGGTGAGATATTGCCGCAAGAGTAGCTAAGTCTGCAGCGTGCTTGGCTCCCACGCCGGTGACCGGGGTTGGATCCCTACCATTGCCTGTTGTCTTCATGTCTTCCTAATAAACGATTCTAGAATGTGAAAATCGCATAGTTTCTTCATACTCACAATGTATAGCCCCACAACAATCAAGGTTGAATATTCTAGGTTTCCAAGGAAGCCTTAAGAGGAGCTGCGCCGCGCCGAGTGGAGGCAATCAAATTTGAAGGTTTTCACGTGCCAAAGCAACGACGGGCATCTGGTACGCCCCAGCGGAGGCCTGAAGGTTAATTTGGACCACCAAGGATCTTTTGACGTACAACCGAAATTTCAGTTACAGTGCGCCTCCTCCGCAATAAGCTTCAGTCAGATTGCTGGCATCTCGGCCGGGATTCGAACCCGCCGGATAGGTGCAGGCCGGCGCTTTGCCTTGAAGCCACCGAGGCGGCTGCCGTGAAGACCCAAGTGGCACTTTCTCGGCCCAGGCTTGGGCCATGCGGGCGCGAGCTAGAGCCAACTTGGTTCAAGCCTGTCCCAAGCTTGCACCAAGCTGGCGGAAGTGTGAACCGGGGAAGTGTGCTGATAGGGGAGGCAGTCTTTCGCCAGCGCTCGATCCGGCTGTCAGATGGCGTTCGATGCCTGTACATCTGTTTTGTTTGGGCACAAGTTCGCCCTATGAAACGCCGATTTTTCTACTGCATTAACCGTCTCTATTTCTGTCATTCGAGACAAGTGTTTCGGCGAAGACTTCCAAAATTTTTCTAATATAAAAATAAATAAAAAAAAAATGTTTTTTCGGTAACAAACAGCCAGTTACGACCGGCGTCAGGAATTGCAATACGTACTAATTAGCTAAGGAATTAACTCACATTTTCTATTGAACTTTTGAATTATCGTAATTTAACGATCTGTGCAAATGGCTAGTTTGTAGCTGCGGACAAAACGATAGAAATTACCGAAACGCAGCGCACGAGGAGCGCGTGGTCTTTGCGCACTGCATTCGATCATTGACTATAGGAAGTATTCACTAACGGCCATATATGTGTGTGCGCCTGCTGAGCGCGTGCTGACGGCGAGCTTCCGCAGTTCTTTTGCAACGCGCATTCCGCACCATCAAGACTTCCGGTCTAAGCAGCCTATTGATCTGAGCTCGTTCTGAGCATGCGCTCTAAACAGCACCCACTAATATGGCGTCCAGTGAATACTCCCTATAGACCCTTTTCGTGGCAAACACCACCAGGTAGAGCCCCAGTCTGATGTCCCAGAGAACATCCGGTTCATAAAAAAAACAAAGCCCACCTTAAAGGGCCCATGAAACGATTTTTGGGTTGGGATAAATCATTTTAGATTGGGATTTTACTAATAGCACATCGTTCAGTGAACCAAAAGAAAAAAAGTAGAAAGTCAAAAGCGTGACTTTCAGTGCGAAAATTTGAAAACAGAGCGGACTATTTCGTACCTCCTCCCCTTCGCAACCTCTGTGCCTTTTCACCGTGATACATCCGCGGTCCCAAAAGCGCGTCGTCGGGTCCAAACTGACGTCACACGCAACCGGACCTCACTTATTCCCTTCACCCCTACGCTGACATTGTGGTGGAAGCTACGCGCTTGCCGGACCAATCAGCCGCCTCCCTTTCATCACCTGACTTCATTCTCTGCAGCCACATTTGCCACGCCCACGTGGCAAATGTGGCTGGCCCAACGAGCACATAGCTTCAACAGCACTGTCAGCTTCGGAATGAACGGGGTGGGGAAAGCAACTTTTGTCTGAATTTTGAGCGACGGACTAATCTTCTAGGGGGAGAATGGATGTGTCCGGATTACACAAACGAGGGTGCGAGCAAGAGGGGGCTCCCCCTTTTCGTCTTCTTTAACTGTTTGGTGGAATGCGCGATTTATGAGTTGAGGAGGAAAGCTGAACTGGAAAAAGTTGGAAAAGCGTTTCATGACCCCTTTAACACCGCTGCTTGAAATGTTCATGAAACGTTTAAGCACCAATTCTCCAGGTGAACGCCAAAAGAACCAAGAAGCGCGAGATTTATTTTATTTATTTATTTACATACCCTCAAGGCCCTGGGGGCGTTACAGAGGGGAGTAAGTGAAAAAACAACAACAAACAGTAATAGAAGACATGGAATAGGTCACGGGTCACTTTCGCAAAAATAATTAGTAACAGCACTTTTAAACACATCTAACGAGGGTAATAATATTAATGACGCCGGAAGGTGGTTCCACTCTGGTGATGTCCTAGGAATGAAAGATTCGTGATAGGCTGAGGTTCGAGAATGAGGAATGCCGACTTTGTACTGATGATCAATGCGTGGAGAAACGTAAGGTGGGACGAGGAAGAGCTTTTCTTTAAGAATGGGGTTAGAATTATATATTTTATAGAAAAGACATAGACGAGAACACTTACGGCGCAAAGAAAGCAGTGGCAAGGAGAGAAGAGATTTCATGGATGATACACTAGCTGTACGGTGATAATTGTTAAGTATGAAACGAACGCCGCGGTTCTGAACTGACTCGAGATGAGAAGTGAGCGTCGTCTGACCAGGATCCCAGATTGAAGCTGCATACTCTAATTTTGAGCGAACCAAAGATTTGAATAATATTAGTTTGAGAGAAACTGGTGCCAGAGAAAAGTTACGTTTTAGGTAGCCTAACATAGAATTGGCATTAGCAATGATGTGGTTAATATGAATATGCCAGGAGAGGTTAGAAGTAATATGCACACCGAGGTATTTATATGAGGTCACACATTCTAAAGAAACGTTATCAAGATGATAGATAAAAGGCGTAGTGTTACGGCGAGACACTTTCATTGTTTTACATTTTTAGTATTAAGTGTCATGGACCACAGCTTGCACCAATCAAGAACAGCATTTAAGTCGTTTTGAAGAAGGAGAGAGTCAGAATCATTAGTAATCTTACGATAAATAACGCAGTCATCCGCGAATAAACTAAGCGATGATGAGACACACAACGGCAAGTCATTGATGTATATGAGGAATAACAAAGGACCGAGAACGGAGCCTTGAGGGACGCCAGAAGTAACAGAAGACACTGAAGAATTAGAGTTATTTACATGAACAAACTGCGAACGATTTGTAAGAAAACACTCAATCCAAGTTAGTATCTGAGGGTCGAGGTTGAGTTTGCTAAGCTTGAAGAGTAGTAGTTGGTGAGAAACTTTATCAAATGCTTTGCTGAAATCAAGAAAAATACAGTCAACCTGGGATCCATGATCAAGTAATGAAAATAAATCGTTAGTAAAGACGAGAAGTTGTGTTTCGCAAGAAAGAAATTTACGAAAGCCATGCTGTGAGGACGAGAGAAAAGAGTTGGATTCGAGATATTTAACAAGATGTGAATAAATAATATGCTCTAACATTTTACAAGGAGTACTGGTTATGGAAATGGGTCTATAATTGTCGGGGCAGTGTTTGTCGCCTGATTTATGAAGTGGAACCACCTTGCCAGTTTTCCAATCTTCAGGAAGGACACCAGTAAGAATAGATTGCTCAAAAATCTTAGTAAGAAAAATTGCACTGTAAATTTTAGTATGCTTTAGAAACTTAGTGTTAATATTATCAATACCACATGATGAAAACACTTTGAGGTTGTCAATCAGCTTAACAATGCCATCAAAATCAAACACAAGCGGGTCCATTGGAAAGAAATCATGATTAGGGTAAGTAACAATAGAACAGTTTACATCTCTAGAAAACGATTGAACAAACACCTCATTAAGGATTTTCGCAGAGTCATCGTCAGACATAACAATGCCATCAGAGTCATAAAGCAAAATAGCCTTGTCTTTCTTGCCATTAATAACACTCCAAAACATTTTGACACTAGTTGATAACAGACGGGGCAAGGTTTGGCTGAAGAAAGTTTGTTTGGCGTCCTTAATTGCATTTTTGTATAAATTTTCTGCGTTGTGGTAAACCGTCCAGCTCTCCACAGTGTCTGCACGCTTAGCAGTGCGGAACAGGCGTTTCTTTTTATTTGAAAGTCTTTTCAAGGCGTTATTAAACCATGGGGACGTGGAGCTATTAGTAAGAAAGCGACGTGGGACGAAAGAATTGATAAGGGAATTGACTTTATTTTTGAACATTGTCCAATTAACCTCGACAGAGCGTTCGGAAAAATGGGATAGGAAGAAGTCAAGAAATTGCGCTAACTCGCGGTTTATACCCTCAAAATCAGCTTTGCCATAATCAAGAAAAGAGTTATTCTTCGCTTTTGCAAAGGCAGATACAGGAGCGCTTAGGTGAAAGTGAAGTAAACAGTGATCGCTGATGGCAGGTAGATACGTAAGAGAGGATGCAAGATCAG